ATATATATACCTTCCTAAAATATTAGCCTAAGTCATTCTTTGGCAAAATCAACTTTTTTTTAAAGCATAAATCATCTCCTGGTGATGTTGACCACCTGTGACAGCACTGCTTATACTCTCAGTTGATCAAATCATTTGTTTCTAGATAATGACCTGATAATGAACTTTTAAACAATACTTAGGCAATTCTTTTAGGAAGATGTGGATATGTTGAATAACACGATGACTTTTGCAAGTCTGTTTTATTTTACACATCCTAAGTTGATGGCTGCGGTTGAAATGAACGTTGCCACCAAACTTCGACTGTTTGAGGCCTACTTTCTGCTCTGTGTTTCTGTCTGCCATCAGCGTGACAGACAGGTGACAGGTGTGGTTATCGTGGTGACTTTAACCAATGACAGCCCTCCTCCTCCTCACTTCTTTGAGAGGATTTCAGGCCTAACTGAGTCACAAGAAGCCTCAGATCAGTGACTCTGAGGAAGCAGCAGGAGGATGAATGTGATGCTGCAGGTCTGGTGATGATGATGATGATGGAGGTGGTTGGGGGGAGGGGGGGTGCACTCACCTCCTCCGCCTGCTTACGCAGCTGTTTCTCCCGCTCGTACTGGGTGATGAGCTGCTCGTTGTCCTCCTTCAGCAGCTCCAGCTCCACCTCGTGCTCCTGGTTCTCGGTGAGCACCGCGTCCAGGTTCTCCAGGACGTTCACCACCAGCGGCATCAGCTCCTTCACCACCTCCTCGTCGTAGCTGTGGATGAGCCGCTCGAACTCGCGGTAGATGCCGTTGGCCAGGCCCGACACGCGCTCCGACATCACGGTGCCGGAGCCGTAGTCGTCCTGGTACACCACCTCGTCTATCTCCATCATCCTGGCGGCCTGGATCCGGGTCCMGGTCTCCTACAGTGTCCAGGCCTGGTGGTGCAGGCGAGAGTGTCACGATCAGAACAAGTCACAGTGTTTGTTCCACTCAGACCCGCAAAACAGCGTCTCTTTTTCTCCCAGATGCGCCAGAATCAGCGCGCGCCGCTGTTTGCGCGCAACCTTCAGCCCCGGCCAGAAGAGCAGGTTCCAGTGCTCTGCTTCAGATCAGAGGGGCCCTTCCTGTCCCACCACACCACCAAKAACAGCTGCCGGCCGGGGTGGGTTCACACCTCAGAAGCGGCCCGCGTATGGCTYCTCCGGTACCGGCGGATGTGTTCTGAACACCGGCCCGCGGTTCGGCCGTCCATGCTGGGAGAAGAGAACCTCGGTCGATGGCGATGATGCACCTGTTTCCTTTAGCAGAGCCCTGCCATCGCCGTCAGAGGGACCAATAAATAAATAAATAAATAAATAGGTAAATAAATAAATAAATAAGCAGCACGGCCCTCCTCCTACAGCACCGGCTCCTCCATGTTTTTAGTCCTCCTCTTCCGGCGGCTCGCCTGGTCGGACTCGGGCCGTGATGGTGATGTCTCCCTTTGGGAGAGGCTCTCTCCCTGCTGTTCAGATGGAGGGGCCAGCTGACCGAGGCTGGGTGACGTCACACCGTCTGCAATGACTCACTGCGTCAAGTCGGAAGGTACAGAAACAGGAAAACGGCTGGGAGATTTTCACAATAAAAGCTGCCATGTACTATCTATCTATCTATCTATCTATCTATCTATCTATCTATCTATCTATCTATCTATCTATCTATCTATCTATCTATCTATCTATCTA